GTACTCATATTGTCGACCAAATATCATTCCGCATTCGGGCTTACCTCACCTACCGCATTCACCTCAGATCTCTAGAGCCGGCGACATCGCAGGCGACCTCCTCGAACGACGCCGAGAGCGCGAAAGTCACAGTGCTGGCAAATGTGGACGTGACACAGGCTGTCTTTGTTCTTAAAGTAATCCCCGACGTTATCACAAGTGCCATCGTTGTAGGGGTCGGGGCATATCTCTTGTACAACGCTGTCGCCCTAGTCTTCCTCGGACCTTTGCTGTTGGCCCTCGTAAGTGTCAGTGTCCCGATAGCCCTTGGTAACAAATTGACGAAAAGTCAACGCTACGCTCTTGAGGCTACCGAGCGTCGGATACGTTCGGTGGGCCAGCTCATAGAAAAGACGCGGAGCATTCGCATGGCTGGTATGCAGGCCGTTGCTGAGAAGGAAGTGCTTGAAAATCGCCAGATCGAAATAGAGGCAATGTCTCTGTACCGGAAATTCCTGATCGGAGTGGTGTTTGCCTGTGAGTTCATGCCTTTTCTCTAGGCTTCAGGCATCCCTGACTTAACCCGTACTAGCGGACTCTGTGAACGGTCTCTCACTTCTAGTGACCTTTGGCATCTACGCAGCTATCAACGGAACAAACTTGGACTACTCGACTCTATTCACAGCTCTGTCGGTTATTTCTATCATGCTCGGATCATTTCCGACGTTCATCCAGATGCTTCCGGCATTGTACGAAGGTGTCGTCAGCTGGGGTCGCATAATAGCCTACGTGAAGCCCAAAGTCAGGTTGGCTGAAAGGCATAACGACGCTACAGCTTCCAACGGGCTCATTCACCTGGAAAAGCAAGTCTCTGTTTTAGCAAAAATTTCCGAGGCATCTTTGGCATGGGGCAATGAAGCAATCATTCACGACGCCTCCCTCACCATTAAGAAGGGAACAATGACTGTAGTCACGGGCAGCTCAGGCTGCGGCAAGTCAACCATCTTGAAGTCTCTTGTGGGAGAGGTTCGCATCTCTGCAGGCACGATACAGTTGGGCACAAAAAAGATTGCATTCTGCGACCAGTCTCCATACTTCCTGGCCGGCCGTACTATTCGCCAAAACATCATCTTACAGCGCCCCTTCGACGGCGCACTCTACGCAGCTGTTCTCAGCTGCTGCTGCCTGGGGCCCGATATCTCGCGGTGGTCAAGCGGTGACGAGACCATCGTTGTCGACAGTGCAGGGACCTCTCTCAGTGGAGGCCAGAGGAAACGATTGGCCCTCGCACGAGCGTTATATCACGAAGCAGATCTTTTGATCCTCGATGACGTCTTCACAGGGCTTGATGCCAAGACTGCCAGAGAGATCAGTACAGCTCTGTTTGGCCCGCGGGGTTTTGTCACCGAAAGAAGACAGAAAATGGCTGTTCTGGCTGCTATGCCATTGGAAACCATAATGATACCATCAAGTTTCGCTCATGAAACACTCTCAATCGTGGAAGGAATGCTTCAACGGACTGAGGCCATTGAACCTGGCCAACATCCTTCAATCATAGACTTGGAGGGACCCTCCACTGTCGAAGATAATGTCGACTCAATTGCCAATTCTCGACGGCAGGCGGACGTGGAAGAAACGTGTCTATCACCGGAAACCGAAAAGGCAAAAGCTCTCGCCACAGAAACCACGCCAACGGCTACAGATGCCGCTCAGTCGCCTCGAGTCAAAAACCAACAGTTCTTGATGCGTGACTTCGGGAATTACATGAAGTCGTTCGGAGTATGGAATCTTGCGGTCTCCGTAACAGCAACATGTGTTGTTTCCGGCATAAATAAAGCCAGTCGTACGTTCCTGGTATCCTCGGGTTTCCCATGGCTAACGTGTTGAGCGGTTGTGCAATAGCATTCTTTCTGTCGTATTGGACAGGGAAATATCAAGCTGGCGACTATTCGAGCGCCCCTGGCTTCTACATTGGGATGTATTCTCTCATTGTGGGTTCAGGGTTCATCGGTACCCTCGTGGCCTGCGGGTGAGTTCGTCCAAGGAGTCTTTCCAAGAGCGGCAGTTAACCGAGCTTTGCTTTTTAGTGTGTTCTTCCTCCGCATGATACCACAGTCTGCAGTCTCAATCCATAGGGATATGCTCGATGTCTTGGTCAGGTCAGCAGTCTTAACATGACTCTCTGTTGTCCATAAGTGGTCCTAATATCACAGTTCCGCAGCTCTTCCGCCGGCTTTCTCGAGACGAATGGCGCAGAAACTCTCAATAGGTCAGTTACAATCCAGATTTTGTGCATCCCCCTCTACGTCGGCTCCATCTGCTCACGAGACGTTCAGGTTCACGAACGACGTCAATGTCCTTGACCTCGCCCTTCCTCTGGCTGTTCTCAACTCAACATGGGGTGAGCTCTACCGCATTAACTGTTCAAAGACTCTCACTAATCATGGTGCTCCTTTTTGAAAGCCATCGCCGCCGTTCTAGCATCCATGGGGGTACTTGCTGCAGGTTCTGTCTTCACTCTGATCAGCCTTGCAGTCTCTCTTTTTGTCCTCTACTTCATCCAGCGCAGCTACCTAGCCACCACTTCACAACTTCGGACTCTACAAATTGCTTCACAGGCGCCTGTAATCGGAACTTTGCGAGCAAGCTGTGACGGACGTGCAACCATTCGAGCCTTCAATTTACAGGACAGCGCATCCAGCACTCTCGTCAATCAGGTCTATCAGGCCAGCAAGTCAGCATACCTCTTTCGATCCCTCCAATCTTGGCTTTTTCTTGTCATTGGACTTCTTGGAGGTGGGGTGGCTGGAACGCTGGCAGCCCTGCTGGTTGGGCTAAAGTCTAAGGTCAACGTTGGCTGGGCTGGCGTTGCTCTGGTGAACACAATTACACTGGGATCTGACATGAAAATGCTCATGAATTGGTTGACTCTTCTGGAAGCACAATTGGGCGTCGTTCGACGCATCAGGGAGTTTATTGCGACTACCCCTAGCGAGAACTTTCGAGCGGTGGACGGAGCTTCCCCGCGTATTGAAGAGCTGTTAGATGACTGGCCATCTAGGGGCGAGGTCGTACTTCGTAATGTTTCTGTGGCGTACGGGTAAGTGTCCCGAGTCAATCACTCACGAAAGACCCTTCATAATCATATTTTTCCAGCGATCATACGGTCTTCACCGATGCATCAATTCATATCCAAGCTGGCGAAAAGGTTGCCGTGATTGGAAGAACCGGGAGGTAAGCTTCAAGGCTTTTGACTTCATCTGAAAGGAAGTAACTGAATCTTCAAAGCGGGAAAAGCTCCTTGGCTCAGCTTCTATTTGGGCTGATAACAAAGACCGGCGGCTCTGTCCACATAGACGGTGTCGACTTAGATACGGTCTCGCCTCAATTGCTTCGCCAGAGACTTGTCGGAGCACCTCAATTCTCATTCTACAACGGACAGGCTAGCGTCAAGACAAATCTGGATCCCGGCGATAACCACTCTCCATCTGATGTTATGGACATGATTAGACTTGTGTCAGTCGGTTTGTCGGACAGCGGCCAGCCCGAAGTCATGGTTGACGTCGATCAACCATGGGAATCTTCTCGATTCTCCTCATTTGGTAGGCAACAGCGCCTTGGTATTGCGAGGGCGTTGCTGAGAAGAAGTGCTCTGTACGTCATGGATGAGCCGACAAGTGGGTGAGTGTTCTATCTTGTCCCTCTTCAAGGGCCGCTACTAACATCAATTTTGAATAGAATGGATACTATGACTCATAAGGCCATGATCCATAACATTCTCAGCACCCATACTAGTAGTACAATGATTATTGTGACACATCACACTGAGGGGCTGGACATGTTCGATAGAGTTCTAAGGGTCGACGAGGGGAAGATAGAGTGGTGAGGGACTTGGGGCACGGTTGGCAAGCCAACACTTTCACTCGGTGAAAAGGTGATTTCATCCAGTAAACACATCATCTTTTCGGAGATATTTGCATGATTGTCCTAGTCAAGCAGGAGACCTAAGTAATGAAAGATCGTCATTATATACCCCAAGAAGATCAGTGCCCACAGCAGCATTACAATAATTTGTATCCATTTCCAGCCTTCATGTGTCTTTAGACAACTGCCTTTTAGGGTGATTGATAAACCAGACCTGACTGAAGTCTGGTCGGCTAAGGTCTTACCCGTGACGCTGCTTGCAACCAACTCGGAACTATTTCGCTCCCGAGTTACCGTTTCGGTTGCCCCCGGAAACGATTCCCTTGACGCAGCATTTCAAAAGTCTTGGCTTTCCTTGCTGTGGGATGATCAGCATGGAGATCGTTTGCACTTGTCTGTCTTGCGGCTGCAACTCGGCTTCCCCGCTAAAGGTGCCCGGTCCAGCTAACGTCAGTCGGGAATAAGCTTGTTGAGAGCTCTGTCGAGGAGCATCTTGGCAAAGAAGCAACAACAGATGAGCCGTTCCACCTTACAACGTCAATTGAGCCACTCCGGCCCTACCGAGGAATACAAACCGGTTTGATCGCTCTTTAGAAAGCTACATCTGCCGATCGCGACCTTGTTTAAAAGACTTTACAAATCCCCGGGCTGGGATTCCATCGGCATAGACTTCTAAATCGAGTCAGTGGCCTGACTAAATATGGCGACCGTATGCGGGGATAGTGTCGCATCTATACTACCGTACGGTAGCGCGCGGGAAGCTCAACTGCCTCTTCGGAACCTACGAGCCGAGATGAACTCAGATAGAGAGCGTTGATCGTGCATCCCGATGGCAACCGGTGATGTACTCTCATGCACAACAGTGGCGCAAGGTATGCAATATCACGAAAACGAGAGCAGCAATAGATGGCATCGTAAGATTGAGTGTCCGTAGAACGCGATGCTACCTGGTGGGAGGCCGGTGAGCGAAGATATAAACTCTCAGAAGAATCTCCGTCGGCATGCCTTTCCACAGCCGCCGCCATCGCCTATAACCACTACTTGCAGCTCTTGTCAATAGCCACAACTCAACTTTCGTTAAGTCGTTCACTCTCAAAATGAAGTTCGCTGCCCTCCTCGCCCCTCTCATCCCTGCCGCTTTCGCCGCAGAGTGCGTCCGCGATGGCGGATGCCCCGGCTGTGGCACTGTCGACAGCGTTAGCTTCTCCCAGAGCGGCAGCACGTACACCGCGACGTCTCCTTCCTACGGCTCCATGACCATGACCGATACGACTCTTTCCGTCAAGAACACCTCCAACAAGTGGCTCTTGTTCTGCGTCTACGGATCCGTCTGCGTCCCTCTTGGCGCTGGCGACAGTTGCTCCACGTCCCGCCTCTCCACCGACAACCCTACCCTCGGCCTGCAAGTGTGGTCTCAGTAAATAGTACGACATTACCAGCTTTCTTTTTCTTGCCTTACAAACGTCTGACAAAATGACCAGTGGAGCTATGAACGGGTTTCTTTCGATAGGAAGAGTTTAGTAGTAGACGGACACACGGGTTCTTTTTGAACAGGTACGGTGCTGCCATGGCTGCAGCAAGCCATCACGCGCGTGACTTTGAAGATGGCCTTGAAATAGGCTTGCTCGAACGCCTGCGATGGTGCCTGTAATAGCAAACTCGTGGATCTGGGGAGTTCTCGACCTTGAACTGCGGGGAGTCACTACATCCATAGCAAGCTAGCAAGTATCCATGACCACCAGACGCAATCAATGACTAGAAATGCAAAGTCGCTGTCAGCAGATCAGATGGCATTCAGTAGCAGCCTTCATGCATTGTTCAAATGACGTATATTGCGGCCTTAAGCCTTGGCCTTTGGCTAAGGAGTGGAGAGTTGGCCCTGGTCCTCCACCTCAATGGCGGGTTGCATCCGCACCCTGCATGCCAGCTTGGCGCTATGGCCAACTCATGCTTGAAGCTGGGAGATGTCGTATCCCAAGTAAAGTAGTTGGTAAATATGTATGGATGAATGAAAGTGTCGTTCCTTCGGGTGCAAGTTCCATGGCTTGCTCCTGTGGTTGTGTTGTGTCTTCCCCGAAACACCAGTAACCTGTCCCTCCTATGATTCAAAAGGTTGATCTGCAACTCAAGGCAGATCATCAACATTTAGTAAAACACTCTCCCCCAATGAAGTGAAACCGTCTCGCCCCATTCGTCGCAACAGCTGGGCTGCTCGCGACTTTGCTTTCTCTGCGGTAGAGAGATCGCGGTAGTTGTGGAAGTTCTCCACGAAATTTTTGTTGGGAAACTCGCTGCGCAAAATGTCAAGCACGGCATCGAAGTTGAAAGGCTCGGCCCACGCAAACACTCGTTCGCCTTGGACCTCTGGCAACACAGCGCAGGCAACATGAAGCCTCGCGGTGTCTTCAACATCAACAAAGTGCTCTAGATTCGCCATCAGCTAAGTCGCCACATAATGATGCGAAATAGAACGTACGTGGTGGACTACACGTCAGTTGGTCCATGTTAATTCCGTACCACAGACTTTCGACGAATGATGATGTTGAAGGGTGGCCTTGGTTGATAACATCGAGGCTCCTGCCGAAGTTGCAGCTAGGGAGCACTTTCAAATCATCAGCAAACTCCTCATTGACAAGACTGGCAGAGAAACTACCTGTGTTGACAACCAAGTCTGGACGGCAGCTCTTGTCCTGGTTGTAGAACTTCCAGACAGCCCTCTCCGCTTCAATCTTGCTTGCCGCATAGACGTGCCATGCTTGGTGCGGATGAGGCTTCCCCCACGCAACCGCCACTGACTCAATGTTCCAGCTTGTTGTTGTCACCTCTTCGCCTTTCTGACCAGGCTTGGGTAGAGCCGCTGCAACCGACGAGCTTGTCAAGACGAATCTCTTGACAGTTGGCGATCTGTTGGCTGCTTTGAGGGCATTCATGGCGCCGTTGATGCTGCTCGGAATGACGCTCTCTGGGTCGGGACTCAAGGACACTGGCGAGGCCACGTGGATGACAGCCGAAACGCCTATGCACAAGTCATTAAAAAGCAACCAGACTGTTCTACTCCAAAAACCAACCATCAACAAGAGAATCAAAGGCCCCCTCGTCCTCCAGGTCCGGCAGAGAGGCCAACGTGAAGCAACCTTTCGGGTTGTCCCTCTCCATCAAGTCCTCGACCCAAGCGTACTTTGTCGGATCTCTGACGGTCCCGCGGACATCGAAACCAAGCTGCAGCAGTTGACTGCAGACATGGGAACCGATGAAGCCATTCACACCCGTCACAAGAACAGTAGAGCCCTCTGGAATGCCAAAGCTCCCTTCCGACTGCATGTTGACGTTATTGGCGGTTGGTGATCGTGTGGGCCGGATAGGACGCGGTGGAAGACGTCAAAGGTCTCGAGGTGCAGGAAAGCTGCTCGGTTGCTGTAGATCTTAAGTCGATCATGGCTGTCAAGACCGTCTAGGGTGTCATGAGCCATCCCGGGGAAGACGGCAAGAATGGAAACTGCAATGAAACAGTGGCATGTCAGTTAAAAAACGCCTCAATTCGAAAATTCATTGCAAAGCGATTACTTTTCGTTTCTTTTCGTTTTACCCCGCCACGAGAAATTTTTATTTATTTTGGATGGAGGGGGGGTTTCGTCTTTGACACTTTTGTGACATTTGTCAAGTGGCTTGAAACGCAACTCGCCCAGAAACCGCTGTCGTTGAGTGCCAAGTGGGACTCCTGAAAATCCCCAAGATGGGGGGCTGTGGGCGACCTTTGAATTCTGGCATCGTGTCAAACCCCGCCAACAGGCACAATAAGCCGCGGTGTTTTCTTGACAATTGCCCATGCACGCGATCCAGATCGTCGGTAGCAACGAAAAATCGGGGAAGAATTAATAATTAGAAATCGCAGGTCCGAGACCGTGCACGAATTGGGCAGTTGGCCGGGAAAGTCGAGACACCAAGACGGGAAGCTAGCCAGGATGAGAAACGCGAAACGCAGCAAGACGATCGATAGGAATGACGACGCTGTGATGAACCCCTGGGCAGATCATTTCACTTGGCCAGTTACGAGAATCTCTCTTCGTTCGCGTCTGAGCGCTCGCAAGAAAGAGGCCGCCATTGGAGCGCCTGGCTGCTGTGCCATGGGCTTTTCAAACCTCCAGAGAGGGGAACGGGGTCGAAATCACGACATTTTCCACCTGTGGCGCAGATCCAAAATTGGCTTCAGGTTGATCATCCAATCCTGGTTGACAGAAAAAGTGGTTGTTTGAGTCTAATTGGACAGTAGCGGTTGTCGGGGATCCAAGACGTACACACAAGAAATCGTGACCCTCTTCTTGCAGGGCTAAGGCATGAGCTCGGGCGGGATCTGGCTCAAGACAAGGCATCCTGCATTTCAGCTCGACTCTTGGGGGTTCGACGTGTCTCGATGCGGAACCATGCGCCTTATCTCGGCCTGGGCGCGGGTTCCTGAGACTTGATTGACATGTGAGCTGATCCCACACGTGTGATAGCACCAGGAATCCTTGACTAACACTGAGTCTTGGGACGAACTGAAGTGACGACGGCTCTGCATAAAATTCATCGAGACATGGCACCTTAGCTGTTGTTAACATGCCAATTATGTGCGGTTTCTACTTTCAGAATCGACAGTTCAAGATCAATAGATTGCAATGACCCTTTCGTTAGGGAACTCATTGAGTCTTCTAGAACGCAATTAATCAGTCACCGAACTCAACAATAACTCGGGAACAAACTCTGAAAATAGGGTATTGGAGAAACGTGTCTTGGCTTGAAAACGGCCAAGCTTCTCGGCAAAACCAAACTGGCAAACTACCTCGAAATTGAGCAGACATCAGCGTCAGTCAAATTCGCGCGGGTACGGGTTGCTGTACCTTCAAAACCAAACAAGAAAAGAGATGAAGATCAAAACCAGCCTGTCTATTACTGATACACATTACTATTCGCAACCGATGTTCCCTTTTCACAAGCCACCGTCTCAGACGCGCACATCTACGGCTTCTTGACAAAAGCACTGTCCCTCAGCCAATCTTCCATGCTAGTCACACCGGGATGAACCTTCTTAGCTTCCGCCAAGTTAGCTTTGTAGCCATCGTTCTTGAACCAATCCACCATCACACCAATCTCCGAAACTCCATGCTTCAGCGCCTTGCCAAGCAGTCCAAAAGTCGTGCCAGTGGGAGCGCCCGTGACCTTCTCGAAAGTCTGGCTCAGCTGCGCGTAGGTCAACTCGTCTCCCGCAATTCCGAAAGCCTTCTTGTTCCACGTAGCTGGCTGATGGAAAGCTTCCGCCGCGAAGAAACCAATATCTTTCGTCGCGATCCACTGCAGAGGCTTTTCCTTCATGGTATCGCGTAGCATGGTGAAGAAGACTTTGCCGAAGAAGCCCGGCAGAAGATTGTCCATGAAGATGACTGGCCGGATGATGGTCCATCCCATGGGACTTTTTCCGTTCGCCGTGGAGTCGCGCAGATGATGTTCAATCTGATGTTTTGTGATGAAATGCGGTACCGGAGTGGGATTGCTCCATGACCTCTCGTCGCCGCCACGTTCCACACTACTGTAAACAAAGTGCTGCACGCCGGCCTTGATCGACTCATCTACAAGAGCCTTCCCCTGCCTGGTCTCGTGGTCTGCATTCTTGCTGTTCGTTTGAAGAGCTTGCACGGAAAAAACACCCCACAGAGGAACAGCCCCGGCAGCGGCTTTGGCGGAAGCGAAGAGTGCGGGTGTCGCGTCGAGGTCGCCTTCAACGAGTTTGATGTTCTTGGATTTTGCGGCCAGACTCTTGGCTGAGGCGGATTGGGCGTTTCGTGTTACTGCGAGGAGAAGAAAGTCCGACGGCTGGCGAGCAAGGAGGGCGTTGATGACGGCGCCGCCTTGTTTGCCGGTAGCGCCGGTGATGAGGAGTGCGCGTGACATGTCTTCGGTTCAATGGTACCGAACAGATTTAGAAGACGTGAATGGAAGATGAGAAAATAGTTGGATGTTGATGGAGATGGAAGAAGTCGCACAGTTTGGGCGGCCGTTTCTTCAAATAATGATCACTTGCTAGACATTTCACAACTTATGGTCCACCGAAAATCCCTTCAAAGCTTTTGCACGATTCAGTACACTTTTCCATTGAAATCTCTGAGATGACAAAGTCGGATGGTCTACCACACCGGGTCGGGCTAGTTGTCATTACGGCAGCACTCACGTCGGACATGGTCGGAGGCCGGTGCTCCTGACGGCGGGAGATCCACCCGGCGTCGGCCCGGTCAATCTGCCTACAACCTCTCGCTATTTTCGGTAGTCTTGTTGTCCCGTTTCAGTGCAGGCTCCTTGACGCTGCGTAATCAGATAGATAGGTAATTGGTAATGACCCGGTGTGAACGGGTGCTTTTCGGAGCCCTGACGGACCAACTGATGACATATGCGGCGTCTCGTGTAGGACCAGTTCAACTTGAGAGATCAAGTGATTATCATTTATAAGAGAAAGATATTTAGAGACCAAATAGCATCTTCCTAACAAAGACATTAGTTTCATTAAACAACTTCTTCGATCATCACTTCTCCAACAACTTATCACCCCATCAAAATGACTATCACCGTCGCTTTGGCTGGCATCACCGGCAAATTTGGACGCCTGCTTGCTTCCAAACTCATCCAAAACCCCAATGTTACCCTCCGAGGCTACTGCCGTGACCCCAAGAAGGTCATCGCGGCCTTGGCATCTTCCCCACAAGTTGAACTCTTTCAAGGTGAAGCCTACGACGAGGAAAAGATCCGAAACTTCGTCAAGGGCTCCGACGTCGTCATCTGCGCATACCTTGGCGACGATAAGCTCATGGTCGAGGGGCAGAAAATTCTCATCGATGCATGCGAGTCTGAGGGAGTTCCTAGGTACATCGCCAGCGACTGGGCTCTGGACTATACCAAGCTCGAGCTCGGCGAGCTCTTCCCTAAGGACCCCATGAAGCATGTGAAGGCGTACCTTGAAACCAAGAAGTGCGTCAAGGGCGTTCACATTCTCATCGGGGGCTTCATGGACGCCATCATGAGCCCCTTCTTCTCGGTCATCGACCCTGTCACGCACACGTTCAAGTACTGGGGCGAGGGCACCGAGCCGTGGGAGGGTACCTCTTACGAGAATGCCGCTGAGTACACGGCGGCGGTCGCGACTGATCCTTCTGCTGTTGGTGTACAAAGATGTAAGTCAAGCTGTCTTCTAATTATACGAGCTTCTTCTGATGCCTTCTCAGTCTTGGGAGACAGAAAGACCATCAAAGAAATTGCGGCCTCTTTTGAAAGGGTCTACGGTATTAAGCCGCATATGGTACGCTTGGGTTCGATTGACGATCTCAAGTCCACCATGCACCGCGCCCAGGCCGAGAATCCGTCCGACATTTTCAAGTACATGTCTTTGTAGGTCATCCAGTCGCATGTAATGACAGTCACTAAGCATTATCAGGTTCTACATGTACTACTGGATCAATGGTCGGACGTTTGTTGGACCCGATGTTCAGAATGAAAAGTATCCAAATGTCAAGCCTGTCACGTGGGAGGATTTCATGAAGGCACACAAGCTGGATGAGCTTTCTGGAGTGTTTTCCGCGTAGGAACTGACAAAGAAAGACACTTGGTTGATGACCTACATGGTCGAAGCAGACGAACTGGAATGTTGAGTTTAGGCATTCAACGCTAAGAATAGTCTCCATTTTCCAGATTATTTGTATGTTGGTCCGAATCGCTCAGCTCACTGAACACTGCATGGGTACTCCTCCTTCTCCTCCTTCTTTAGCGCGCCATTCCTGTAGTACAACTCGATCAATGGTGTCCCTAACCCTCTTGTCTTTGGCGCGACTAATTCGATCCCATATCTCGCTGCAATACCCTTGGCGATTTGTTTCATCGTCTTGCCCTTAGCAGGGTCAGCAACGAACTTGTCAATATTCTCGTTGAGATCAACGGAAAGCTTCCTCATCAATCTTTCGGTGCCGACCCGTGGCACGTCTTCAATGAGCTCCTGCAGTATTCCTTGATATCCGGTTTGACCTTTCCAATATTCTTGAGGCTGAAGGTATGTAGGGCGAGTGTGGTAGTGATGCAGCATTAGCGCAAGGTCGTACTCAAAATGTGAGCGAGCTCCTAAATAGCTCCTCGCAGGCGAGAGAAATGACAACCTCCAAAACCAATTGCTGGCGCTCCGGATGATGAACTTGTCAGGTTCTACTCGGGCGCAGCTTTGGGCCATTTCACTGACCACGGCACAAATTGTATGCCAAATGGGCCAGTCACGCTTCCATGCATCTCCTGTAGGGCGCCCCTGGTCATCGAAGAACCTTTCTACACGCACAGGGTGGGCTACCATGCCATAGTCCACGAGGAGCATATGCTGAAATATAGAGCGGGCGGTACGATCGAAGTCTATGTTTGACTTTCCGACTAAGCACATCAAGTCCCTCCAAGTGCTCATTTTCGAGTGATACTGGCCTTGTAGCTCCACATTCGGATGAGTGTCTCCTTGGCTTCCTTTCTGCAACTGAATGTCATAGACTATAATGGACACGGCCCCAAAGAATGGTTTGCTTATGGAAGGCTGACTGAATGGCATTATTTCCTCGAGTCGTCTGCCATGGCAGAATCCAGAATGAAGCTGTTGCATAGCTCGCTTCCATGCCTGGCTTGGTGGTCTTCCTAGCATTGCTGTGTACTCGAATCGTTCAGGGCGAATGGCACTAGACTCCGTTCGCCAAACCTCGTGGCTGTCCCATCTCGGTAGACAGAGTTAGCTCAGTTTCTCGAACTCCAGATCTTCCCATTCATGAAGAGGAGGTAACGGCTTCCCTTCTATAAACGGACTTGAGCTGTCGAGTGCGTTGGTTTCAGGACCTGCTATAGGTTCCAATTGCTTTTCGTCGGTTTCTAACTTTGGATCTTTCAGTTCATGAAGTATCGGCAGGGGTTCCATGACCCCTTCTCCGAACGAAGTCGGGCCATCTTTTTCGGATTCAGTCGGACAGCTGTTTACGTCCGTTTCCAAGGAGCTTTCCGGGCCCGAACAAAAAGAGATCAAATCACCGGACTCTGGCTCCATGATCTTATGAAAATACGCCGCAAAAGGACAGACACGTCAAACTAAAAGTTGAAGTTGATCTGAAGATTGATTGGATTTGACATGAGTACGAAACCCCTGAGGACGCCTATCGTTTTGTTTGCTCTCAAGGTCCCCTCCTACCTCGGCCCATAATGCTCCCTTGAAGCCACTTTCTTTCATGTCCAGGCAGCGCCATCGTTACCCTCCTTCTACTACGATTGCGATTAACTCGTATGATGGAAGGTCCGACGTTTCACCTGGAAATATTGAAGAGTGTCTTCTGTTGATGACTTCGCGGGCTGGTTCAACTCATCCAGCGAAGGGTCTTCTGAGGGTGGAGACCTTCCCATCTCCAACACCACCAACAACAATAAGAAGCGGAAGGTCCTTTCCGCCACTGACGAAAATGCTCATAGCGACACAAGACGGTGGGCTAATGTCTAACTAAAACAAAGCATTATAATCGTCAGAAAGTGATGTTGACGCAATGTGATTTCTGCCCAGTGCTCAGCTTCCTATCAAGGGTGGCTCGTTCTTCCCTAGTGTTTGTAGTGCAATTGAGAACAAATTCCATAATCATGAGCATCTGTCTTACCTCCATCAATTAGCGTCTTCTTTACCGTCCTTGCCTTTGTCGCTATTTCTGTCCGTCATCGTCGTCCATCGTCGTCGTTCATCGTCGTCTATCGTTTATAGGTGGTCCAACCTATCAAGCAGAAGACAGACAAACAAACATCTTTACTTCACATTTGGCGGACAGGCTTCGGCTATCACAGGAACGTTGAATCTCAAGCCACAATCCTTTGAACTACCGCTGAAGAAGACGGACGTCTACTTTCTCTTGGAGAGCTTTTGCAACACAAAGACTTGTGTGACACAGTACCAAGGCTTCCGGCGATATACACACTCCTCAGACATCGACAGAAGAACTGCAACTTTCCAAACAGAAGCCCAAATCTGCAGCATGTTGTCGACCTCACAGGTACCAAACACCACAAAGTCTATCTGTGCAGCATGCGACCTCAGCCAGGCTTTATGACGTCCACATAAGCCTCCTAAAAAGCTGTTTGATTACCTCTACATGTTAAGTGTGTCAACACAAAAGCAATACCTCCTATCGTCCCATCGAGAGTTCTCAGTCAGGCCACATACCATTCTGTCTCAAGAGTACTTAGATGCATCACTCTCCGCCTTTCATTGCTCCGCATACCGGGCGTTTGGTACAGCTTGCAGAGCTTTTGCCAGGCGTCCTCGCCATCAGCATGCCACTCCACCGCCTGGTAACACATTCTCAGCCAAATGACACTGAATCGGCGTAGCCACTCGACCAAAATATCACGTAGTCAGCCAGATCGCACATGATAGACATCGCCGCCGAGCCTCACTGCCTTGAGTCAAACTTGACCACATGCAAAATCCATCAATAAAGCCAACATCATGGACCACACACAGTGAGCTGCACGCAATGCCACTGACCCAAGCCTTCTTACCATTTAGCTAGACTACCATCAAACCAAATCATGAATCACAACGATCAACCTATAAGACCAGGGCCAGACAGCCAGGAAAAGAAGACGAGCCAGCCAAGTCATTGATTAAGCAAGATTCTATTTAGATCATAGACGTAGATTCCCTCCACTCCAATCTTCCAAGCCGCTCATCCCTCGTGTGATCTGTTCTTGACCTCATCCGTATGCAGCCATCTCATCACCATCGAGGGCACTCAACACTGAAACTGTTTGACACTCGACCGTTGTCCGCACAACGTGCCACCCGTCCGTACCCCCCGAGATCTGACGTTTGTGCGCCCAGCCCCTGAATCATATCTGTCGAGAAACCCACCACCTCAGTAGATAAAGCCTCTCCAAGCCAGCACCCCGATCCTTCCTCGTCCGCGTTCAACAGCAACTTCCATCACATCGCCCACACCGCACCGTGCCAACTCTCCCCCCAACATCTGACGAAGCCATGGTAAGCCCCCCCTCCGCCCACCTCACCTCACCCACCTAACACCCCCAGAAACTCCCCCTCATAAACCTCCTCCTCCCACCCTCCCTCACCTCCCACTCCGCCCCGACCACCCGCTCCGTCCCATCCTACTGGACCTGCACCGCCTCCACCACAACCACCCTCCCTGGCCCAGGCCTACCCGCCCTCGCCGCCATCAGCGATGTCTTCACCGCGCTTTACGGCTCCGACCCAATCACCCTGCGCGCCGAGCAGGCCCGCGTTGCGACCTGCAACGGCCTGCTCTTCGGCCTCTGGAACGGACACCCGTACACCGTTACGGAGCCGGAGGGTCTGCGGGCGGAGGTTGCGAGGCGGGATCCGAGGGATGGCGGGGAGTGTCTTGGCCATGCGGATCAGGAGACCGGGGTGGACGATGATTTGAGGCTGAGTTATATGTTTGGGCTCGCGGAGGACTCGTGGGTTAGTGGTGGGTTGACGGAGATTCGGCGGTGTGAGGATTATTAGTAGGCTACGCACCATGCACGTTCACACGGATAGAAGCTCACAGAAGGGAAAAGGCAGATTTTGGAGAAAGTTCACATGTAATTCATATCTAATGATGATACCTCGTCCTGCCACCGCCTCCTTGCCCCGAGGGGTACCGCCGCCCGTTCACCGCGAACGGGACGGGTTTCCTCGAGGGCTGCACGGTCGTGATGGCGTCCCACATCTGGCGGATGCCGGCCCTGCGCGCGGGCAGCATGCTGTACTGCAGACTGTACAAGTTCTTGCGATTAAGCGGGGGCACGAAGCGGCCTGTCAGGAGGCAGAATAGCACCTGCGGGGACAGGTAGTGTTTGCGGATGCGGTTGCCCATTTGGAAGTACTGGTGGAACATTGCGCGGAAGGTGAGGGGGATGGACTGTGTAATCTGTTAGCGAGCGCGGTTGTGAGAGTGAGAGGCAGGGGTTGCTTACCTTGAGGTAGATGACGGACGTGGGTGGTTCGTTGGAAGTATTATTAAGTCTATAATCATGGGTATCTCGAAGTTCAAAACGAATGCCGCCTGTTCATGTTAGTCTGATGGCTTCTCAGTTGGATACGAATGGGATCTCACCTGGAAGTCGTCGAGGGTCTTTGACCCGTAACATCAGCGCGAAAAGGGGAAAGTGGTTTAAACAAGAAAGAAGCGTATCAAAGACGGCTTTGAGGGAGATGATGACCATGCGGGCGATGGCGAAGTTCAGGTAGAACACAACCACCGTTGGCAGGAGGAAGAATAGCAGGGTGAAGAGGATGGTGCCGACAAGCAGTTGGTCCAGGTCGTAGTCGCACGAGTCGATACGGTTACGGAGGACATTGTGCTTCTTGCCGCGGAAGAGGTGGAAGAGCGAGATGAGTATCGTCAGTTGCCAGTGGTAGATGCGGGCGGATGCGAGGTAGAACGAGTAGATGTGGACGGTAAGGGCAGAGAGGAGGTCGGAAAACATGGCGATGGGCATACTGGCGCCGGCGAAGCTTGAGAAGCCGATGAACCAGATGATGTGGGGAAGCACCGGTTGGAGGGTGACGATGCAGTCTGAGACGTTAGTACAGAGCTTTCATCTGATACGGGGAAACATACTGGACCAATAGTCAATGACCCAAAGGAAGAGGTCACCGAGGAACATAGCCAACTCGCTGTTCAGCTTCAATCCGGCAGGCCATCCCATCAACCACGAGATGCTGCGTTGAAGCGCTTGAACCGTGTACTTGCTAAGGAGCTCGCTGATGGCATTGGCGACCCATTCCGCATTATCGATAATGTACGACCCCAGAGCGATGCCAATGATGACGTCGTTGGCGACGAGCCACAGGCTGTTGTAGAACCTTATGTAGTCCGGATGGCTTGTCGTGACGCTCTCCCAGTCGTTTTTGCGCTGTCGCAGCGTCGTGTACTGCATTGGCCAATAGCAGAATTGCTGCAATCGAATTTCCACCTGTTGCGCCGTCGCCGAGATGTCCTTCAACGCCAAGTAGTTGTCCTTCAACCTGAACTCCAAAATCTGAAGCAGAAACTCGGCAACCGCTCTGTGGCCCATGAGCATGTAGACGAAGCCCCACTGTATCAGCGGGAGGAGGTAGAAGATGAAGAGATCCCACACAAAGTTCCGCATCGTTGTCGCTTGTTCCACCACTCGTTCCGAGACACTCAAAGTCCGCTTAGGCCTGGTGCCGATCCGAGAAATGTTCTTCTGCAACAGCTGTTCGAGCTCCCAGGACCAGTTGATCTGGTTCACGATTTTCGGCAGAGCTCTCTCCTTCGGTGACGGGGACCGCTTGACGATGGTGTGTTGCTTCAGCTTTTCCACCAGCTTCCTCTTTTGCTCCTTCTTCTTCAACTCGTGTTTCTCCTCCTCCGCCATATGTTCTGTCGGGGGTAGGCTCGGTGCCTCCTTGTTGCCCAACGCAAGGGAGATGGGGTTCAGCGAGATGTACTGCATCCGGCTGGGGCGCGGTCGGTCGTAGAGGATGATCTGTATGCTTAGAGCTCTGGCGCAAGTGATTCGAGGTGCCTTCGCGTTGGCTGGGGTCGTCGCAACAAACAAGGATGGGTCCAGGACCACCGCATCACTCGGGTTGGTGAGGCCCAAGACATGCATAGCTCCGTGGCCGCATCGCTCGTAGATGCTGTTGACAGGGTGCGGGGAGTTGCGAAAAAGGGTCCCCGCCTTCAGGGCAAATTCGACATGGCCGGCCTGTTGCTTCGTCAATTGGTGTCCATTTCGTCGGTCAAGGTGTTGGAGCGTGCTGACATCGACATCGTCAAGGATGGCTACGACGAAGACGTCTAGGCTCGAGTTCCTCCATCCCACGACAACGCCAGGCAGGTCGGAGCGCTGGATGTCCGTCGGCCAGAATATCCTCATTAATCCATCATTCTCTGGCATGTCAACCACGCGCGCAGCAGCGGGAGGCGACACTTAGAAGGACCCTCGCCGTCGCAACTGTTCCCTGGCTGAGACGCCAGCTCCGGGGGATCTGGGATGCTAGAGGGTGAAGTTGCTGTTAGCTGGGAGCTTCCTTGCGCCGGCGCAACCACACATGTCTCAGGGGCGAGTTTCGGGGGATTCGTCGTACCAGGTCCGACTCCCTCGTGGCCAAGCGTTCCACGGGAATGAAGACGAGGAGGAAGACAAAGGTCAGGAGCGCAAAGCCTTTGGCAGCGCGGGTCTATCGAGAGAGAGCTGGTCAGAGGCGTGTGAAGTTGGGGGCGGCGCAGGGAGGTCCCTACCACGACTCCGTAGTTCCAAGCAAAGATGGCAAGCTCATAGAGGCGAGTAACCAGATCCCATCGGGCGGTGATGTAGCCTGCTACGAAGATCCCAAGGCTGAGAACGGAGAGGGGGTGCATAGAATCGCTATTCCCTTGGGTTGTGCATGCCGAGGCTTGTCGCCAAGCTGATTGCGGTGCGCTTGGGGTTCGGAGGAGGGACTCGAGGCGTCTTGCGGCTGCGGGCTTGCGATTGCGGGGGAGCCAAGAGGGGGGAGCTTTCGAAGGTCGAGGGGCGAGATCGCGAGCTGGATTCGAGCTTGGAGGGGTTTCCGGGTCTTTCAGGGACGAGATATGACGATGTGACCAGTGGAAGACTCGACTCGAGATAGGCTGGTGGTACAGGACAGCCGTGTTTATCGCGCGTTGTCTGGGGAAGGAGAAGGGACTGGACAATTGGAGCGGACGGGGGGTTGGTCCTTGGATGTCGGAGACGGGGTCGGGAGGTGGGCAAGGGACAAGCTTCGCGCGTGGAGAGGAGGCTCGCAAATCGGGGATTGGGCCTGGGTGGTGTGGCCCGGGACGGGAATTGGCAATGTAATTATTGGCGACAGCGGACCGCCTGTTTCCTGCTGTTCCCCTGGTCTTTGCAGCGATGTCCTGCCGCTAGCGAATGCTGTCGTTAGCGGGTCGAACATGCTGAAGCGCTGCGCTGCCGCTCGGTATTGGGCGAGCAGAGGGCGACCCACCGAACTGGACACGGTTTGCTGCGCGGTGTGTGTGGCCTTTTTTTTTTTTTTTTTTTTCCCTTCCCCTCCTTGACACTCCCGCAGAAGCCTGCGACGGCGACAGACACGGGGGGCCGCTAAGGTGACACGGCACAAACCTCAGTGGATTGGGGGCCAGTTGCAAGCTTCACATTGTCTTGACTGGGATGTGGGCGGTCTGGAACCTGGAACAACCCGCCCTGAGCTGCTTCTGGATTGGCCCAAATCTGGTCCCTGCTTTGACGTTTGACGCGATCCGGGACTGGGAACAATGTTTCTTTCCTCCCAGAGACGGACCACGACGGACTCCCAGCTGAGCGACGAGAATGGAAGAAAAATGTGCAATCACGTGGGCCCTCGGAGTCCGCAAGACGCTTCCCGACTGCGGTGCTCTCGTTGGTTGATTTGACGGATTGTCAGTTTCAATATCTTCAGATCTTCTCGCAGTATGCATTGCGTTGATGGAGACCCGGGCTGATCTCAATCTTTGCCGTTGGCAGTGCTGCCAAGTACATTGCAGTGTACCTTTGCAACAGCATAACGATGATGCCACCTGTGAAATGCACTGCCATCATACTTTATTTTCTGTTCAAAGCTCTCCCGTCCACACAGGGGATTCTCTCGGGGAATTCAAGCTTACGCTAAGGTTATCTGTCCAGGGATAACTTAGTCCTGGGCGGCTCACGAATGATGAAATGCAGAGAGACACGGCGGTTGGACGCGTCATGGGGAAGAACGGGGCATATTTTGAGATTGCGGTTCCTACACTGCCACCTTGTGCCCAACAAATGCAACCCTGGAAAACGCCAAACCGACCGCGAGATATGTTGCTAGTTGGATCACGTCCTGCATGAGTGGTCAGATTGGCCTCCCATCACGTAGGAATTGAGATAACTCACATTTGCGGCCCAAGTACGTCGCGTCGCTCTCTTTGCTGTCCTCCCGTGCCTCATCCAGAAGCTTGTCTATTCCGCGTTCCTTCAACGCCACCTGCGAAGTTGCCCACTCAGCTCATGCTGGCCTAGACCACACACAACAGATGGCACTCACCGTCAGGCACTTTTGGTAGTTCTTGAACAAGTCGGCGCACTCATTGTTATCCGTGCCGGTGCCCCTCAGGTACTCTACACCTACGTCAGATATAACTCACAAACAGCCATAGGGGAGCGGGTTATGGGAATAAGACTGACTTTCGCTGTACCATTTCAGGAAGCACGTGTCGTAGCGTCTGTCACCGTTGTCAGTTTGAGCTCTAGAAAGACTTCACCCGGCGACTCACTCCTTGACTTCATTGCATTCGGGTGCTAACGAGGCAGACATGGTGGGTGTTGTGTTACGGATGTCACGGAGAACGTGAGATGAAGTTTAGGGAGGGCGGCGAGAAGTCGAGGCAAAATCGTCACGGCTTTTCCTTAGGCACTCAACTGCGTCACAGCGGCTGCATCCGCTGTAAGTCTGAGGCTCGGTTGAGTGTCAGCACCTTACTCTCGACTTTCTATCTGCCGCATCTCTTGAATTGAGGCCAAAATTGACTCAATGAAGGAAAACTCATGTATTTCGTCTACTTCTCGTAGCCACAATCATTTCAAGAACCTTGGTTCCCCAGCTCTTCCTACCGACCATACACAACTATGCATTTCTACGTCAGTGACAGCTGGATCGCTGCTTACCTCATCCATACGTATCGATAAGACGGTCAGTGGGGCGTACTATCTTATCAGCAAGGGACCTCTCCCAATTGGCATAATTTTTGATCGTCAAACTTCGCAGCCAAAGCCGCGACCAACGCTCACGACACCCCAAGCGTCGCGCCGACACCATGACCTCCCCTCAGGACTTCAAGTCTCTCCAGGAGAAGGTGCAGTCCGCGCTTGTGGCCACCACCCGCTCGGTGAACCGCATCGCCGCCGAGGACCTTGCTTTCCAGCGCGCCGTGAACCCTGGCGTTGGCGACGACCTCGACGCCAAAACCGAGCGCCTCCTCGAGCTTTCCACGACCCTCCTCAAGTCAGCGGCCAGCGTCTGCGGCCTCAACGCGCCCAATCTCGAAGATGCCGACGACATTGATATGCGCTGGCGGAGCGTTGTGGACGTAGTAGACTCGGTACTGGAGAAGGCCGATACCTCGATCGATGAGTACACGGGAGCTATCAAGAGGAAGGATGCGCCCACCGCAGATGTGAGCGCCTTACGACGGATACAGGAGACTTTGGATTGCTAACAACTTGCGCAGGCTTCCCAGGCGAAGAAGGCAAAGACTACCGGAACTGATAAGGTCATCCGGAATGCCAACATCTCGAAACCCCAGCTCAACTTCGATCCCCCTGTCGACAACAATGCGACATGGAAGCCCATTCTCACCGAGAAGCCCCACGCCAAGGTACCGCTTGAGCAAAGTTTGGTATCCAACGAGACGGACGGCTTTGTTACGTATGATTACACCATTTTCTTGCCTTTACTTCACATGGACGAATCCGCACACTCCAAACAGAATAGATCTCGCATAAACAAGCGCCACAAGACAAGAGGTTCAATTAAGAGTATTAACGGGGAGATTAGGTACAAGCACCCGTACGAAACCGAGATCCTCGAAGCGAAATACCCCGACCGCGTCTATCAACAAGCCGAACCGATTCCCTGGCAACCCGTCGACAAGACCGAGGCGACATGGGTCGATACCTTCGAGGGCGTGCTGGAGATGTTGGAGGAGCTCAAGAACGCCAAGGAGATCGCTGTCGACTTGGAACATCACGACTTCAGGACATATGTGGGACTCACATCACTGATGCAGATCAGCACGCGCGAGAAAGACTGGGTTGTCGATACCCTGAAGCCTTGGAGACAGCAGCTCCAGGTTCTTAACCAGGTGTTTGCCGATCCAAACATCGTCAAAGTAAGCTCACCTTCAACTCACATATGGACAGCGCTAACGAGACTAGGTTTTCCACGGCTCCTACATGGACATTATTTGGCTGCAGCGCGACCTCGGGCTGTATGTAAACGGCCTCTTCGACACATTCTATGCTTGCGAAGCTCTCCACTACCCCCAAAGGAGCTTAGCATTCCTGTTGAGCAAGTTTGCCAACTTTGATGCTGATAAGAGATACCAAATGGCCGACTGGCGCATGCGGTAAGTATAGTCTAAGTAAGGGGTTGACGCACACATTACTAACACTAGACAGCCCACTGTCCCCGGAAATGCTTTACTACGCCCGCTCTGACACACATTATCTCCTTTACGTCTATGATAAGGTCCGCAATGAGTTGGTGATGAAGTCCGACCGTGGTAACCCTGGAACCGATTACATCGAGACTGTTCTCCAGAAGTCCAAGAGCCAATCTCTGTCTCGATACGAGGGTGAACACTTTGACCCGGTCTCTGGAAAGGGTCCCAGGGGCTGGTACGGCCTCTTGCTCAAGCACCCAGCGCCCTTCTCAGGCCAGCAGTTTGCCGTCTACAGGGCTGTTTGGGCCTGGAGAGATGAGGTGGCGCGGAGAGAAGACGAAAGCACTGCATACGTGCTCCCCAACGCGATCATTGGCGACATCGCCAAGCGCATGCCGCCTGATGCGAAGGCTTTGCACGCTCTCATCCCCCCCAGTTCCCACATTGCCCGACGAAATGTTACCGACATCTGGGCACGGTACCAAGAAGCGAGAGAGCGCGGTGTGGAGGAGCCGAGTCTGTACCATTTCTTCCGCTCGGATTTGCCGTCTCGCCCAGCCAAGCCATTGGTCGAGACCGCGGTGGATGATGCAGCTGAAGTTGCCGCGGAGCCGGGCCAACTGGCTCAGTCCCAGCTTTTCGGCAACATGGCTTTGAGTTCGGCGTGGGAGGCGACGCCGTCTGCGGCTAACGGTCTCGGAGACTTCGTCATGCTGCCCTGGCAAAAGTTCGTGCAGAACGTAGCAACAACTGAGGCGGCCGCTCAAGAGGATGTCGCCATGGAGGGAGGAGTCGAGGCCGAAGCCAAGGCTGCTGTTCAGCCTGAGGCGCCTCCGGTCGAGGAGGAGTTCACCCTGAAGGCCGGCACGAAGCGCAGGGCCCCGGCGCAAGAGGAGTCAGATGGTAGTGACGACGAATCTGGATCGGAAGAGAGCTCTGTCGACATTGTGCTGGAGCGGGCAGACGGTACGCCCAGCGGCAAGAGGGGCAAGACTATAGAGGGTGACCGCAAGGCGAAGGTCGAACAGAAGAGGGCCGACAAGGTTGCCAGGTACACCGAGGATTACCAGCGTGCCCAAGCCGAGGTCGAGCGTCTTACGAAAGACGTCGCCGAGGATCGGGCATACCCAGTGCAGCTTGAGGAGGCGCAGGGCATCGCCGCTGAGAAGAAGCAGAAGCTGGACAACTACGTCACCGCGCTCGCGAACCGAAAGGCCAAGGCCGAGAAGAAGGCCGCGGCCAAGGCGCGGAAGCAGGAGAAGGCGGAGAGGAAGAAGCAGAAGGAGGCAGAGAAGCTGGCGAAGAAGGCTGCTAAGAAGGCCGCCAAGAGCAAGAGCGAAGGCGAGGGTGATGACGACGAGGAGGAGGAGGCTTTCGACTACGGACAGGCTGCTTCGGTGCTTCACGCGAAGCGGAACGGGGGAGGTGTCAAGAAGGTCGCGAAGCCGGCGTTCGACCCGTACGCCAAGACGGGAGACGATGCGCCGAAGGGGGCCCGCAAGGCGCCGCCTCCGAGGGGTGAAAAGAGCGCGACCTTCAAGAGGTGAGGGGCGGGTGATGATGGTTGCTTGGATTTGCAAATGGGAGAGGTTTAGTGCAGGAAATATTATTAGCATTGCTCTCGGGCAGGTATGCCTCGAGATGCCAAAATCAAAAAGTTGATACCTGTGGGTGCCTTGGAACCCAAAATTGTAAAATCATCAGGATGGTACATTGTCTTATCGCAAGTTTTCCGCGGGGTGCGGAATTCCCTGCCTCCCCGCAGACGCCCTGCCGCAGCCGGGACCCCACGAAAGGGCGTGATGTCAAGATCGGATCTGACATTTCGAGATAGGGTAAACGGATGTCGTCGTATCGATGCCGCTGATGGCTCCGGGATTGGAATCCTTCCCGCATGCGTGCTTACTTGCGTGACGTGCGAAACGTCAAAATGACAATTACCAAGTGCCGCCCGCGCCCTGCGGTGGACGGCTTGCATGCGCGGAGGGCCGATCTTGGTGCCCCCCCGCCCGCCGGTTGTCGGATCCGCGGGGCCTAGCGTGTGTGATAGGGAGCGGGAGACATATTGTGGTGCCGGGTTGAGGACCCTAGATGGCATTTTCCCCTCACGTCACGGTATATAGTCAATGTTTGTATCTCTCTCTCAATTGAATACTCGTTGTTATAAGGCCTCTGTTTCTTGAGCTTTACAGGGAAAGTAGTAGCCTCCGTCTTGCATAACGGCCCGCCCCCACCACCTTGGGCGCCCAAGCTCCCAGAGCTCACCAACTTCCTTGCGTTAACTTCATCACATCTAGATTGTCAACGTCCAACTCCTCATTAGAGCCGTATACTCCCCACAGCTCAATCTTTTTCGTCTTCTTTTCAGTCAATCTCAAGAATCACAAAATACGGCGAGAAATCGAAAAGGGAGGAGCAAGCACCATGTCCGACCCCGCAACAGAGATAAAACGCCCCGCGAACCTGCCCTCGGCGACGCACCACGTCGTCGTCAAGCTCGAGACGATCCACGTGGCACTGCCGGAGGTCGACACGGGCGACCTGACGCACGAGGTCATCGGGTACGAGTACACGCGCCCGTCGGAGCCGCAGGTCGCCGCGGCGCGGGTGTGGCCGGCGAGCATCCTGATCACGACGACGGTGCCGATTAGCAAGGAGACCTTGGGGGAGGCGCCTTATTTGTGGGTTTTTCTTTTCCCGCATTCTTTGACGGGGAGATTGAAAACACGATGGACGAGGTGGATTAGGCTAACTGGTTCATCGCAGAAAATGCATCATCACGGAAACAACGGGCACAAATCACATTGACCTGGAAGAATGCAAGAAGCGCGGCATCACGGTCATGTACTCGCCGCAGGCGACGGTCGAAGCTGTGTCCGAACACGCGCTGGGCTTCGTAAGTCGTCAACCCTCTCATCATCAAGACACCAATGCTCAGTGGAACAACAGTACTTCTCAACCCGCCGCCGCCTCGTGACGCTGCACAACACGATGATGGACCACTCCCCCGCGCACGCGAACCCGTGGCGCACAAAGGGCAGCATGTCCTCGCTCCTCCTCGACGCCGAGGGCCGCCCGCCGCACACGTGCGGCAACGAGGTCGTCGGCATGGTCGGGTACGGGCCGATCGGGCAGCGCATCGCGGGGATGTGCAGGGCGCTGGGGATGCAGGTCCTCGTGGCGGCGCGCAAGGACTCGCCTTCTTCCACCCCCGCTACCACAAACGGCCCCAACACCACCACCAACGGCGATATCGCCCAGCAAAGGACGCCCTTTGAGGAGGTCCTCCGCCGCGCGACGACGCTCTTCATGGTCGTCCCGCTCACGCCGGAGACGAAGAACCTCATCGGGGCGGCGGAGCTGGCGCTGATGAAGCCGGACGCGATTATCGTCAACGTGGGCCGCGGCGGGACGGTGGACGAGAGGGCGCTGCTGGAGGCGCTGAAGGAGGGGCGGCTGTACGGCGCCGCGACGGACGTGTACGAGGTCGAGCCGGCGGGCAGCGGGGCGGATAGCGTGCTGCTTGGGGAGGAGGCGCGAGGGGTGAATCTGACGCTGAGTCCGCATCTGGCGTGGTGTGCGGACCAGACGCGGGTGAATATCAGGAGGGTTGTGGGGGAGAATTTGAGGGCGTTTGTGAGGGGGGAGAAGGGGCCGAATGTGGTTCTTGATATGAGGTAGAGATGGCGATGAAAGAGAAGATGATGAGCTGGGTCTAAGAGGATATAGAGAGAGCCGGCGGGATGGGTTGCGGCTTCAACACCGAGACGGACGTCTTGGCTCACCGAGAATCCTAGAGGAGGGCTACTGAGAAATGCTCCGCTGCGTACGACACCCCGCACCTTGCGACATGAAAATGTCCGATGCTTCTGCTTGATTCGATTGGCCTGGGTATGGTCGTTTCCCGATGGTGTGCCCGTTCAGCTGCGATGCCAAGATAGGGCGACCGGTGAGCTGGGCTAGCTTGTTTTTGCCTTGCCTTGCCGCCCTCGACCTCGTCCGCGATTGCATGCGACTCTAAGACACGAATCTTTCAGGAGCTTCGACAACGCGTAGCTCGATGGACAGAGGGGAAAGGTCCTGCAAAGTTGCAACTCATACTTGCCGCAAGCTCCAGACAATTTTCCCTGGACATCAAGAAAAAGGGGAAATCGAAAGCCTTGGAAGTTCGAGAATAGAAACATCAGCTGCCATTACCCGCTCCCGCAGCCGCCAGCAGCTTTCTTCTTCCCTCAGCCATCCCGCGAACCATTTCCTGCGTAGACAAATAGCCCTCGTCCAGACTTGCAACAACGAATTAAAAACTGCAGCGCGTCGTCAGCAACCACTCAACCTGCCGGCAGTGGCTGAACCCCAGCTGCATTGTTGATTGAGGGAGCGGGAAACCCCACTGATCGCCTTTAATCTCCCGCTGCGGCTGCAACAATCCCCCTGAGCAGGGCTGGCTGTGGTGTGGGGAATTGGGATGAACCACAACGGGTTTGGGGGGAGGTGCACGACTGACCCTTACGTGAAGGCGGGAAGTGACAGGTTTTCGAGACATTTGTGCTTCTTCCAAACTGCCGTGGTGGTCTAGAAGAAACACCCGCAATTATTCGAAGATGAGTGTTCCTGGTGGTGGTAGTGTTGTCTCGGGAGATGAGCGTTGTTTGGTTTTGTTTTATTAACTTGGATGGAGTGGCGCGTCACACAGCTTTTGGTCGAGACACTGTGAATGTGCTGCCGGCTCCACCACGAGAAATCGAAGACTGTGGGGGAGCAATGTTTCCAGAAAACTCAGGAGAGAAAAAAATTCAAGCAATTGCCAGTGCACCTTGAACCTCGTGTCAAAACATAACATAAACAGGCAACGCGGACGAAAACACAAGAAACTACGTAAATTTGGTCCAGACCGCGGCGGGAAGGCAGGGGTGTTTCCCGGCCGGGCGGGATGGACATGCCGGAGCCGCGACCCGATTGCTCGTAATGGCCCGATGGGAATCTGTTCGAAACGCGGCGGGTCCTGGGAGCTAATTTACATGTCGACGCTACGCAGCTTCGGAACCAAGGAGTTGTTTGGCAGCAATGGAGGGAACGGGCAGACGATCCATGGGATGGGAGGGAGATGATATAAAAGTCAAAGTTCCTTCGATCTAATATGTGCCTCTTGCTATTACCATCATCACCACTTCAACAATCCACAGGCCGGACCACACAGACACAACACACTCTTTTGACAAGACATTCGCTTCAATCCAACCAAACAAACAATCAAAATGCAGTTCGCCTACTTCCTCCTCGCCGCCCCCGCCCTCGTGGCCGCGACCCTCGACCCGGCCACCTCCAACACCAAGGGCGCCTGCCCGAGCGTCTACAACTGCAGCGCGACCAAGGTGTCCAAGGCCATCCAGGCCGCCGAGTGCTCGCACAACACGCGCACCTCCAAGACGCAGACCTTCGCCGTCTTCGAGACGGACCACCAGTACGACGGCAACAACGGCGCCCCCTACGGCACCTGCTCCGCGTACACCTGCGACCCGCCCACGAGCTCGCAGATGACGACTGACGCGGACTGCTGGACCTTCTTCTGGAGGTGAGTTTGCGACGAAGGAACTGTGTGGGAGATACGTGATTGCTGACGAAGACTTTGTGACAGTGGCGAGGGAACTTCTTCTGGCGAGGGCGCTGGATGCATCAAGGACCCCAACACTGGCGAGTGCGGCTGCGAGAACTCTGACGGAACCTTTGTTCCTGGCAGCGACAGCTGCGTCTAAGCGAATCTGCGAGCGGATTATGCTAGGGGTGTGGAGGACTGGTCCGGCGTGATGAAAGAGTCGGCTGTCCTCTTGGACGAGGGGGTACACATCTATTCGTGTATATATAAAAACATTGTATAAAACCAAATCACCTTTGATGGCTATCACTATTGGTCTCCCATATGCATGTTCTTGACGTCTAGCAACCAGACAACCTTGCCGGAAGACAGCACGAACTACTGGCTTGGTTTAGATCATCGAATATGTGTATGTTCCTAGGATTTGCTTGAGCTTTTGCTACCAACTCAATTTAGCATGCTTGGACTTGGACAAGGTCAGACTCGTGCCGATGAAACTAGCACTGCTCATCAGACTTCAATCTCGGGGATGTGAAGCTCACAGGATTTGCTCACAGAAAATGGATGTAACATACAGTTGATGTTGCGTCCAGTTAAAAAGAGGCAATGTCATGCACGTGTGGAGCAGCACTAGGTACTACTCATTCCCAATCAGCACGAATGTGCAACACAGCTCCGCCGCCTTACCCCGCCCGTGATAGCCTGATTCGTTTTTCTGCATGATTCGACATACTCGTGTCGATCTAGTGAATGAACTGCCGGCAAACTAATTCCATGATCCATCATGGATGATGGGGATTGGGACGAGTTCTGGGCGGAGCTCGACATCGATCCCGACAATGACTTGAAAAGCTCTTTAGAACTAGACCCATTCTCACTCGAGGAATGCCACAGGGTCGACAGCGAAAACATATTTTACCAGCCACTGGCAGAGGATGAGATCCGCTTGCTCACCGTCTGGCCTGGGTCTTTTGGCGATGCAGTCCGTTGCAGCCTTGCGGTCACAACGACAACGCGCGGTTACGAGGAGTACGATGCCATCTCTTACACCTGGGCAGGCGACGACGATATCATTGACAAGTCGGGCCGGGTCTCTATCGCTTCGGAAGATTTCCCAGTCACTCCGAACTGCGAGGCTGTGCTAAGGCGAGTTCGGCAAGAATGGGAACCAAGGATAGTGTGGATTGACGCTATCTGCGTCAACCAGGACGATCTTCACGAACGAGGGCGCCAAGTCAGCTTGATGCCGCAGATATACTCACGCGCACGAGAAGTCATCATCTATGTGGGAGAAGCGACTAGTGACATACCGGCACTGTTCAAACATCTCACCTGGGCTCAGCATAATACCACGCCTGGCAAGCGAGAAGAGATCCAGGGGGCTTTGGCGAGGCTACTCAGTCGCCGGTACTTTTCGCGGGCGTGGATTATCCAAGAAGTTGCACTGGCAAGACAGGCAACTCTCATTTGCGGCAGCCACACATTGTCATGGTCTTTGGTCCATGTCAACAACTTGGCCGCTCGCGGTCTTTTATCAGGCTTAGTATCAGAGGACGGGAGGATACCAGGATTGCAAGCGCTGCCTCCTGTAATCCAGTTCAAGGCGCCGGCCTTCAGAACCACCGGCGACCTCCTCCGCCTCCTGGACTTAGCTCGTAACAGTCGGGCAGCAGATCCACGCGACAAGGTCTTTGCTGTGTTCGGGTTGATCACATGCCCTGAGAGCGAGGGCTTTTCAGCCGACTACACCAAAACACCCGCAGAGGTCTTCACGTCGACTGCTCTATGGATAGCTCAGAGGTTCGGCCTGCCGGCCCTTCTTGCGAGGGCTGTCGATGTTGTCCGCCGTGCAACAGTGAGCGAGGCAGTTGTGCTAGACTCAGCGTGGATACCCAACTGGACGGAGGACACATTTCAAAGCCCGGACTCGTTGATTCCTCAGCTCAGGAGAGAGTATCGCTCGGTGTCTAAGGTGGCAGGGTTGCCAATCACGGTGTCCCAGAAAGACCCTGGCGCGATCCGGTTCCCTGCATTCAGATTGGGACGCATCATTGACGAAGTCTTGGCGTACGACGAAGAATCCTACGAGTCGTTCTCCAAAAACGTCATAGGTAGAGCGAGGGATGTACATATTCCTCCCCCGCCATGGGTGTTTAAGATATTCGGCGACTATATCGATGGAAGGAGAGCTGCTAAGACGTATTCATTCGTCTTTTTAAGGAACGACAGAGATTTCTCTGGTCTGGCGAGCGAGGCATACTCACGGTGTGACAACGGCTTTCCGATCACTTTCAAGACTCTAGAAGCTTACGCGGGCTGGAATAAGGCCAGCATTTACCTTCTGCCAGAGCCAGACGACAACGGGAAGTTTCAGTTTACCCACCCTGGAAATGTCTCTGTCTTTGTAAACGGGAAATCACTCACTTGGCTCCATGAGAGAGTGAACGGGAGGACAACGAAAGGCAGATTCAGCAAGTACGCAGTTCTCTGCGCGGCCGATGAAGTCAATGAGCCGGAGCGTGTGCAAGGACTTTTGTACATGGATGGGACATCCCACAAGGGCGTTTGGAGAACAGGAGAATTTACATTTGTTTGTGCCAAGTAGGATATAATACGAGGCGTAATATTGGGGGCTGCTCGCTGGATGCTTCTGTCTGATCTTATTCTCAGCTATCGGACTGACACGTACTGGCAACTCGGCATGGTAGCATGAGGGACTTTATCCCCAATCACTTTGGTCAGCCGCAAGATTAAACTCACTCATAACAATAGGGATTGCATCGGGAAAAAACTCACCTTTCGCTGCACCTAGTGCTGTGGAGAACTAGGGTATATCTATCATTCCAGTACATACATGGCTTCGTAGTTGTGTTCCACCTATTCTAAACTGCTGCGCACACTACTCCTACGCGTGTCTCTGAGCCTTGAGGGACTGATGACACAGCAAAAATACTTGGTGAAATATGATTCGAGGCTTTGCTAGAACGCCCGCTAATCAGCCTGGCTAGGCATGCAGCTCACCCGTATGACCCCGCTTCGAAACTGCCTAACGTGCCACCTAAGTATGTAAGCGCTGGGGCAATTTTATCGGTCAAGACAATTGATTCCTTGTACGTTCAGCTTCAATCATCATCATACAGACACCGACACCTTTTTCTTCCTCATGGTTGCATGGCATGACCCGCGTTGTCGGAAGCTGGACTTTTCCAACAGCGGCGGCTTGCTAAGTTGCCTCAGCTGTGGCTCCGTCCAACTTGAACAGAACTCAACATTAGCCCCTATAATCCGACAACATGCCCCGTCTTGCCGAAGACCGGACACCATCGCCCAAAGTGGTGTGATTAGTTGCTTAAGCTGCGGCTCAGCTGAGCTCGAAACAGATTCCGAATCACCCTTTGCGACTCATAGCTGCAATAATGTCAATGGCAAGAACTCTGCGGCTGCTGAATATGGCTCTATCTACCAACCCTTGAAAAACAGGACAGATATGCGACTTCTCACCCTAGAGCCCGGCGAATTCAACGACACGATTCGATGCAGTTTGTCACAGAGCACTACCTCGAGCATGACCGAGTACGACGCGATTTCGTATACATGGGGAGGAGAAGATAATGTTATGGAGCGTCGTGGGCGAATCCTACTAGATGGCCGAGATTTTCCAGTCACACCAAACTGCGAGGCAGCACTGAAACGGATCAGGAGTCGAGGGGCAAAGAGAATCATCTGGATCGATGCTGTCTGTATGAACCAGGAAGACATACGAGAGAGGGGCCACCAAGTACGGTTAATGCCCCTGATCTATTCTCGAGCACAGAATGTTCTCATCTACGTGGGAGAGCCAAGCCCAAACGAACAAATGCTCCTCCTCTCTTTGACGTATGACTACGACCCGTTAGAGGAGACGCGGCCACTACAAGAAGGAATGTCATCATTATTCCAACGCAGATACTTCGCCCGAGTTTGGATTCTCCAGGAAGTTGCTCTAGCAAGAAAGGCAATGTTGATTTGCGGGAGTTACTCTCTACCATGGTCTTCTCTTGAAGTATCTGAGCTTCATAAACGAGACCTTGTGTTCCTATCAGGCTGAATACCTTGGCTACCAAACATCAAAGCTCGACTGCCTCCAGTAGTAGTCAACTACCGCAAGCCAGCTTTTCGAAATTCTAGCGAACTACTCAAAGTTCTAGACTCAGCCCGTCACAGCTTTGCATCGGACCCCAGAGATAAGGTTTTCGCAGTCTTCGGTCTCATCACCTGCGCGGAAAGTGATGGGTTCTCTGCGGATTACTCTAAATCAACGAAGGAGGTGTTCATGCACATTGCCGCTTGGATCGCTGAGCGATTCGGAATTGCAGCAATGATAGCGAGAACCACGAACGTCATGCGACTCGCCGATCGAACTACCGGCGATTACATGCCTTCTCGGGAGCGCGACGGTGTGCCGGTGTGGGTTCCGGACTGGACAGATACACCATTACCGGTTCAGCATCCAGTGCTTGAAGACATCTTGCAGGATTCCAGAGCACTGCCTGGCATGCTGAGAATGCCCGTCGCAGTCTCAGTTACAGCTTCTACTATCAAGTTCCCAGCCTTCTGTCTTGGAACCTTCCAGTCAGTGGCAGCGTACTCTTCAGTACGTCGAAAGTCGTTCACCTCATACTTATTATTCAAAAATCAAGGAGGTGTCACACGATGTACATCTCATTCTACCTACTTCACGCGGAGTTCAAAGGATGAATGGACGACTTCCGATCGGTCATTCTTACCCTTTAAGAATTTCTTAGTCTACCTGGTCCCCAATCCCGACTCATGCGGCGGTCTCCCACCTGACTTTCTAGACTTATGCCAACCGCCTGCCATGGATGATGAATACGACAACCTCCCGTTCGCTCCCCCAACAGCTGGAATGGAAGTTATTAGTCACAAAAAATATGCATCAGGGCACTTGAGAGTCAAGAATTCGCAACTCCCGTGGAACAATGATGACCTAACAACTATCTGGGGCAGAGGAGAAGACCTATGCTTTAGCCAATACGCACTCATCTCGCCTCCTATGCACGGGTCCCCTCGCACACGCACAATATCAGGGATCCTGTCTACGCACGATTTGCTTCGCGAAGGATATGAAATGAGGGGACAAATTTCAGTTTTCAACTTAGG